ACAGCCGCACACACATGAAGCGCGCACACGCGTTTCAGATGGAGCGCGAACACCGAACTGAATCCTCTTCTGAATCCTCTGAACAGACACATACACATAAAATTATGACAAAATACCCATCTTAATAATCATTCAGGTAAACGCAGTCAGTTATATCTCAAGTGAATGAAAACAGGATCTCATTATATCGGATCCGTGCATCAGGTCTTAAAGGGGCAGTGGCCTATAAATACTGCTGCTGTCATTAATGATCATCAAACAACAAAACAGCTGTGATAAAAATCTATATTTAATTTATACAGTGAACACTATGCAGTGTTATTTTCCCTAATTATTACATTTCTGTATTTGAATACTACCAACCTTATTTTATTTGTAACATATTCTGTTGTATTTATCTATGCTTGTAATCTGTGTATTTGTTCTTATTTTTACTGGCTGTTCTCGTCTCTTTAATCATGTTTAAACTTTCTTAGTTAATCTAGTAGTATTTGCTGTGGTATCAAAGAAGTACTTCGCTTTAAGTAATAAATGGAAAGCAAGTTAAATTTAAATATTTTTCTTTTCTTGCTGATCCGAAAAATGATCCGATCCGTGGGTCAAAAACCGTAATGTGATCCGAACCGTGAGATTTGTGATCCGTTGTCTGCAGAGCCTATTGACAGATGACACGTGGACACATAGCGATCGATGACTATTTGAATGTCTGTTCATTGCTACTATCGATGTGATACAAGCTAAGTGTTAAAGTTCAGTCGAAGAACTCAGAAGCAGCACATAGTCTTTTGAAATCTGGCCACTCAAGGTGGCGGTTCCCTACACAATAATCGTATAAGTAGCTTCTATATCAGGGGTGCTCAAACTCGGTCCTGGAGGGCCGGTGTCCTGAAGAGTTTAGCTCCAACCTCAATTAAACACACCTGAACCAGCTAATCAAGCTCTTAATAGGCATACTAGAAACTTGAAGGCAGGTGTGTTGAGGCAAGTTGGAGCTAAACTCTGCAGGACACCGGCCCTCCAGGACCGAGTTTGGGCACCCCTGATGTATACAATTACTGTGACCATAGAGAATATCAATAAAACATACACGGTGCTCAATATCATTTAATTCTAACCATATCCCATAGCCGATGGCTATGATTTCGCATCCTCTGACTCTCACATAAACATTTAGATGTGCATTTGGTCTCCTGCTGTGAGAGCTTTGTTGGTCTGTTTGGAAGCTGTCTAAAGAACATGTAACATCTGCAAAAACCACAGGCATCATAGACTTTCTCTGCCCAGCCGAGAGCGCAAAAAGGCAGATCCCAGCAACATTCACACAACCTTATGTTTGTGAACCCCTCTCGTTGTGTGAAGAGCCCATCAAGCACGGCCATAAAGCAGAAGCCTGCTTTATCCTACTGAGAGAAGCAGAGCAGACAGACTATCATCTCAGCAAGACTCATCTCAGAAGATGGCTGAAGTTCAGAAATTAGTTAAGACTTTCTTGAACTTTCTTATTTATTTCTTGAATTTAATTGGCCTTCATTTAAAACCTGCTCCATTCTCAAACCCAAGCTTGAATGCACACAAGATCACCTATTAACTCAAAGTGACAATGCAGTACAAAACCAGATGGATCAAAACATTTCACACACATCAAGCTGCTATCTCCTTGTGATGAAATGCTGGACTGACATACTACAACCCTTGATTCACCTCTACAATCATCCTTAAATAGGGCACCAGTCACTAAGTATTCACCGCGCTAACAAACATACTGTAAAGCAGGTTTGCCAACCTGGGGTTGCCAGAGCTCTTCCAGGGGTCTGCAATACACTTGATTTTAGGGGAACTAGTTATGATTTCACTCATAAACACGATCAAATAATGCCAGCTATAAACAAATAAAAATCCACGCAATAAAAGTTACTTTAGATGATGAAGAGGTGTTTCTGTGTGTCAGACAGGTGTCTTTTGACATGTCTTGCTGTTTTTTTTAGCATCTTCTGCAATGAACAACACATTTTCATTGCATTGTACTCCAGCTATGTATTTGTAAATGCAAATCAAGTGCTTAAAATGCTTGATCAAAATAAAAAATCTCTGCTAAATACCACCTAGAATACAAATCCTGTCATACAGAAACTATAGTTCTGTCAGGACCACTATCGTCAAAGATGATTGACAATTAGCATACAGTTTGGATTGGCGGTATGGTTCCGTTCTGGGCAAGAACTCCCTGCGCATCCATGCAGCCTAGCATGGATGAGAGCAGGGAGAGCAGCGATAACCCCCCCAGGGTAAACAGAACAGAACCAACATAAATGTATGCAGATATCGTTAAAGTTCAATAATGTTATGTACACATTTTAGAATTAGTCTGATTCAAAGGAGAATCAGAATGCTGAATCCTGACTGACAGAGGAGGAGTTGGGGATGGAGGAGGGTAATTAGCTATTGAGCAATGCGAAAACTGCTGATACTACTGCAGGACCTTATATATGAATGCTTAGGTGTCGTATTCCCATAGGTTGATGGGGATCAGCTGAGAGTCAGCTGATGCGAGCTTGACTAACGTGACCTGCCAGAACTAACGCTACGCTTGATTTCTGTCAGGACCACTATCGTCAAAGATGATTGACAATTAGCATACAGTTTGGATTGGCGGTATGGTTCCGTTCTGGGCAAGAACTCCCTGCGCATCCATGCAGCCTAGCATGGATGAGAGCAGGGAGAGCAGCGATAACCCCCCCAAAACAAAACCATATGCCGATATCCCCCAACACAACTGATAGCAAATTTCAAAGCCTTAAGCAACAAGCATGTTGCCCTTAACCAACAATCAAATATGTTGCCAAAACCCGCATAACCTGTAGCAACAATTCTGTTGCCTTTAACAGTTGACCTAATTAATATGTTGCCAATACCTTAAAAGCTTAAGCAACATGTTCTTAATAACACCAGATAGACTTAAGAAAAACATGTTCCAATTCAACTACAGCTTTCAGAACAAGCATGTTCCGAATAACGACCGGATTGCTCTGGAACAAGCATGTTCCCAACAATACAGCTATACCTTAAGAACAAGCATGTTGCCAATACAACTACAGCTTTCAGAACAAGCATGTTCCCAATAACGACCAGGTAGCTTAAGACAAGCATATTTCCAATACGACTAGACAGCTTAAGAACAAGCATGTTCCCAATATGACTCTCTTGGAGCTGCGCTGCAGCAGAAATGATTCAGTTTGCACCATGGTCGTTATTTCCTGCTGCTTAAATCTGTGCTGTAGTGCTATAAAAATTAGTCTCGTGTAGCCAGACCTTCAGACTGACAGCTGAAGGTCTGGAATTCATGGCAGCTTTCTTTGGCCAAGCCCGCCCATGAGGCCATTTGACCGACATGTCAGACAACCAATCACAGTTCATTTCATTCAGCGGCACGTTTCGGGGCGTGGAAATGTTGCCTCAATAACAGACTGTGTGTAAAACTCTCGGACGTATTTGAAAGATTCTGTGCCGCAAACTTAAATATTTTACATACTTTGAGAATACAGCGTTTAGTTGATCCTGATAAGCGCTCGTCGTCACAGTTGTAAACAAGACGGCTTTCTTCTTTTGTAAGGGTTTGGCGTCACGGCATCTTTGTTTCCAGCGGATCTGTGCCGCAAACTTAGATATTTTACATACTTTGAGAATCCAGCGTTTAGTTGATCCTGATAAGCGCTCGTCGTCACAGTTGTAAACACGACGGCATTCTTCTTTCGTAAGGGTTTGGCATCATGGTATCTTTGTTTCCAGCGGAACGTTAAAGAACTTGACACACACGTCTCCCGGAAATCCTGTAGAATTCAACCAATCCGATGATGACTTCGAAACTCCTGAAGTGTTTCCACTTTTCTGTGCCGTATGCATCAGACGTTCAGCCAACGGTCCGAGGACGTGACGTCTGAGGTGACGTCTATATAAAAATAATGTCGACTTGACTAGGTTAAAGAGGACATAACACACACAGTTTTGGCCAATCTCATGTTAATCTTGAATACCTATAATTGTAGTACTGCATCATTCACATCGCCGAAGAGTCTTCAGTTTTATCAGATTTATAAAAGAAAGATACAGCTTGCGATTCTCTCCGAAAACAGCCAAGCTCCTGGAGGCGAGCCATGGGCGGAGCTGTAGAGTTGCGAGCACTTACACTTACTAACAATCACAGACATTTGATGCAGTTTTACACATAACCTGAGAGCATTAAATGGGACTTAGCTTGTGAAGAGTTTGAGAGAGTGAAACGTAGCAGCTGTGAAGTGGCTGCTTGATCTCTTGATATCCTTCTTGGAGATGCAGTTCCCATCTGACTTGTTCGTGAGTCAGTCACATAACTTGTGGAGTTCATGAAAATAATGTAGAAATGGTTTTGCCTGCCGAATTAGCCATTTAATTAGCTATTGAGCAATGCGAAAACTGCTGATACTACTGCGGGACCTTATATATGAATGCTTAGATAGGTGTCGTATTCCCATAGGTTGATGGGGATCAGCTGAGAGTCAGCTGATGCGAGCTTGACTAATGTGACCTGCCAGAACTAACGCTACGCTTGATTGCACACTGATATTCTATAGCAATCACTAATATCACACTACATATATCACTCCATGACAGGAATTGTGATACATTAATAACTGCCAAACTGTCCATGGATGCAGGTTTCTTATTTGTAATTCAAATGTATTTACTATGATTTCAAAAGAAATTTGCATCATACCTACACAAATTCAGTCAATTAAATTAATTGTTTGCATAAAATTAAGTGCTTTTTAACGGTTGGGGTTCATGAAGCATATTATTATGAAAAAGATTGGCTATGGAGAGCAATTGCTAGAAAAGCTCATTAAAAGAAAAAACAATCACCACGTTGATCTTTTCAAAGAATGTTACAGAGCAAGTCATTTATGAACTCAATATAGAGGTGTCATTTGTGAAAAAAAAAAAAGAATAGGATGAGATATACTCACGTCATCTGTTCTGAGCTTCTTAGCTGGACATCCCCCGTCTACTGGATGCAACATATAATACAGACGAACTTTGTTTGCATGTTTCCGGCTCTGAAAAAGATAAATGGGGAGGAAATAAATTATTATTTAAATATGTGTTTATTATTCTTAACAATCAGATTATTCTGCAATCAGAGTATTATAAGAGAATAAGACGGCTGTAATAAATCAAAGTGAAAGATCAGTACCTTATTAGTCTTTTTTATATCGTTTTTATATCTTATGGTTTGTCTATTTACTGTAAGTTTACAATCCTGGGACAGACTAGAAAATCTATTAATTGTGAAAAAAAAGTATTTAAAAAAATTACCAAAGAAAGATGAGCACTGGAGCAGGGACTGAGTGAGAAGCGAATGGCAGTGCCCATCTCATGGAGAGGCCAATAAATAATTACTCTGGAGCCACAAATCACAAACCCATCAATTACTTGGGTTTGGCGGCACAGCTTTCAGAGAGTGGGCCAAATCAATTCACCGCTCAGTTTACCTGAAAATGACGTTGTTTGACAAGAGGGTAATTGAACTTCATCCTCAACACAAAGGAAAGAGGCAAAGTGTGGAAATGAAGGACAGAGAGTGGAACTGGAATAATATGCATTGAAAGCCACTCATTTCCTCTTGAAGAAGTGAAAGATTTTCTGTCTGCTTTTCTTAGACTCTCAAAAAAAAAAGACACATTCACCTGGATGAAACAGACCTGACTGACTACAGATGAATGTGGTTCAAAAATATGGTCTGTCACCTTGTGTTTAAAGATTGCCTGAGAGAATCTTATTAGCCTGGTCCTCCTATTTCTCCCCTCAAGAGAGTAAATATGAAATGAGACAGAGAGAGATCGAAAGGGACAGATGGATCTCAAGATTTACTGAGAATGCTGCCGCTTCAGCACCTGGAGAGTGTGCAAATAGAAACATATTTCTCTTCAACCTCTTCAGCAACAATTCTATCCATAATTTCTCAGTTTCCTATAACACCAGCATGCAAATAAATATGCAAATGTGTCTGTATCCATTCCTGTCTGTAAGTGTTGTAATAGTCAGGTGCTATAAACTGATTTTCTCTAAATATATAAATAAAAGAGATTTATTCATTTAAATCATACCAACCTCCAAATGTTTTAACTGTAATATTTAATTAAAAAAATAGCATTATATTATTGTCAGGCCAAGCACTTTAATATAAAATTTGCACAAATACATATTATAAATGCTTGTGTGTTTATCATGTTGGAGATAAACTGTTAACCCCAAAGAAATCATCAGATGTGATCACAATTCATTTGTTTAATTATAAATAAATAAACATTCCACAGCCACACTCCTCAGCAACAAACAGTGGGCTTGTTTTCGAAGAAATTTCACTTGTGGACTAATCTGACCCGAAGTGTACTTTTAAGTACTCTTGACTCCAGTTCTTAGGGGAGTCTTGGGTATGGTAATTACATGGAGGTAGGCAAAACTAGTCTCAAAGGGTGAAGTAAACTCAGATTGGGGTTGAACTGTCACAGCGATAGATTTAGAGGGCCACAATTTAGCTTTAAGCACAAAAAGCACATGATGTTCCAAACCCCACTGTCATTTGGCCAGAGGAAAACATCAAGCTCTACTCATGGGTAAGCACAGGGGGAAAATAACTGGCAAATGGAGAAAGCTTTCATGACTCATTACTGTAAAAGGACCCACACTCCAGTGGTAAAGGACTGTTTGCTGAGACATGTCTCCTTCAGGGTTTACTTTACTTTCTTATCAAAAGTGAGTTAAAGAGTAGATGACCCTGTCAATACTGAGGGAATGATTCCTGCATGCACGTTTATTCACTTGAACCAGACTCAATTTTACCTAACATCATTTTATCTTTGCTCAAACATATGTATAGTTGATTGATGCTGATACCCATGTTGCTAATTTACAGTGTTGGGAGTAACGCATTACAAAAGTAATAATATTACAGTAGTATATTACTTTTTGCTGTAACGCTGTAATATAAGGCATTACTAATAACATTTGGGTAATATTATTACTCGTTACAATCTCAGTAACGCAAGTTACAACAACATATTTTAACTCTGAGCTCAGGCCAAACACACATTTGCTCATGTGATGAGCATGTTTTTTAAGCGCATTAAGTAAGCCTGGTTTACATAATAAATAATAGTTTAGCATTCAAATACATTGCAAATATAGACACATTTAATGGATTAATGCCGAATGAGAGAGGTAGGCTGCACCAGAACGCCGTTTGCTTTCAGTTTTGCATTGAATTAGCCTATTCGTTTTGGCTTGTTTAACTTATATTTTTCATTCTTGTTTTCTTCTGAAACCGTTCAAAATAGCCTATAGGCTAGGTATTGTGTTTATTGTTTGTATATTATAACATTTTGCTTTATTTACCGGTGTTATTTATGAATGTAATAATGCGGTTTGTGCTTATCTGTGTTTAACCTAAACTACAACGTAACATTAATGTAGACCTACATACCGGTATCTAAATATGATTTTATAATTTTATGCTATATAGACCTACCACATTACCCTCCACTGGATGTAGAATGAGCAGCCAGCAATAAACTACATTTTGGCATTTACTTCTGTGGATATTTTGGTGAAAGTAACTCAAAAGTAACTCAAAAGTAGTGTAACGCATTACAATTCAGAGACAGTAATATTGTAATGTAACTAATTACTTTCAAAAGACAGTAACTAGTAATATATAATGTATTACATTTTGTTAGTAACTTGCCCAACACTGCTAATTTACCTTTTTAAACAAGTAGTGTAATTGTTGGAGAGTATGCTCTTTTTCCTGAAGGGCTTCATCAAGGAAAAAGCAGACTCTGCCACGTTTAGAGATAACAGCAGCATGTGTGCCATAAGGTGCGTACAAATTAAAACCAGTCAAAGACTGAGACACATTTTAGAGGAACCCCGGCAGCAACCGAGCACGGAGTTAAATTTTGTCTTATAGCATTTCAATCAGACAACATAATTCAAAGGAAAAATGCAGGAAAAGCCTAATTTATTCAATATATTAAATCCTGCTCATGCTGTGAGCTGCTCATATGTTATTCTGGGGTTTTGTCAATACTGGTTTATTGTGAGTTTGGCGAGTTTTGACTCCTAGAGCAAAAAAGTGAGATAATGATTATGCACATTTCTATGAAATAGTTTAAGAGAGAAAAAAATCAAATCGGCCATTCAAATACAAATGCCAATAAATTCTTCTTCTAATGATATAGCAATATATTTAAAAAAAAAAAAAGTGTAAAATTGCAACAAAAAAAAAAAAAAATCAAACAGATGGTGCTGAAAAAATAAATTTCCAGCTACAAATTTGAATTAGTCATCTGCATCAAGTAAACTGGGTTATTAACATGCCATAGATCCACTGCATATTCTATTCCAAGGCACTATATGCATCCTAACTATTTGGCCTCTGGTTGCTTAGTCAATAGAACATGTTCAGACCCAGTTTTGGGAACAGGAAGACTATCACAGAATGCCAGGAAACTGAGTGGGATTTTAGATTCATGACAAAACCTCATATAACCCTATCATATTCACTACGCTGACGGAGGTTTTGTAGAAAATATCACAGCACCACTATGAACTTTAAGTACAACTGAAAAAAATGCCTCGAATGGGCAGACTAAATGCTATTAGTTTGAATACAAGACAAACCAAATACTTTACTGGTAGTAAAAATCCTGAGCATCAAACGGTAAGACTTGACTTGACGTTCTGAAAACATGGTGCATTGTGAATCTAAATGGGGATCAAAGTGTGGAAAAGTGAGTTCATTAGCAATCAGTTTATCTTGGGTATGAAAGACTTTCTGTTAGACCCAAGGACTCTTCACATGATATGTTTTCATGTTTTTTCTGACAGGCCCTCATCTATATTTCATCAGAGCATCACAAGCCTTTGTTCTGTCCATTAACTCCATCTTCTTCCAATTTGTTTGCCGCTCCTCCCCACTTCTAAGAGCTAAAGAAAGTATCAGTAGAGACAATGGAGAATTATGCTACGGCTTCAGTTCTGCCAGATAATCTGTAAGATCCTCAAAGCATAAAAATCCACTGCAGCAAGATTTAAAACCATCTAATGCCTTCCTCAATGAATGTATTGTGCTTTGTGTCTTCAATACGGTGTTATGTTAAGTGGTTAGGAATTTCATGGCAATTAAAAATAAGAACAAAAAAATCTTTACACTGATAAGAAAAAAAAAGAACATTATCAAAGGTTAAATGCAACATTTATTGTATTTTGTGTGCCGTTTTTACTCTTTATTTCAATATATGGCCAAGATCTCACTGAAGCCATTTTATCTTCACATTGCAAGCAGTGAATCCCTCACTGTTATGGCTGGTTTAACCTGACAAAATAAGCATTAAAACACTGGACAATGTAACTGCAGAACCTCTGAAAAATGCATTAAAAAACTCCTAATAAAATTATCTAGACATCCTTTATATAACTGCCTTTGTTCTTAACTATGAAAGAAAATAAATAGTCAAATCAGCAGACAATGATTCATTATACTGTAACTGTACAATATGAGCTACTCCACAAATTATGACTAACTTTAAAGAAATACAATTACTGGTGCCTTTTTAATATGAAAAACAAATTTCATGTTGCATTTGAAAGACACGCTGGGATGAGAACCCAAAGATCTGGCCTCATGCATCCCAATTTTATTCTCACTTGTTAGCACTATCTTAGGAAGCGTCTTGCAGAGAAATTATTTCTTCTTTTTATATGACTCTAATGGCTGTTAGGCCAACAAGAACATCCTGATTTAGTCAACTGTACAGGAACTAATTGAGGAAGCCAAATTTAGAGCCATATTTAAAGACATTACTGATCCTCACTTAGATAATAACAGTAGATGTGTTTAATAGAGCTTCGTGATTCAAAGTCAGACTTTCACAGCTCAGCGACAAGTTTAGCTCACAATACAAGATTTGCATGCATGTGTAAAGCAGCCTATATCCTATAGCATGAGGGCATTTAACCTATGACATTTTGCCTGGCTGATTTGTTTGTTTGTTTT